CTTCAAAACCGCCATCCCTACCGTGGGACATCTTGCTAGACACATTTGGCTCGGAAGAAGAAGCTGAGTGGCAACAGGGATCACAACAGGAGCTGAACGTGACAGATGACGTACAGTGCAGGCCGAAGCAAAAGCGGAGACGACCAAAAGGGTTACAAGTTGACTTCAATGCGAAAATCGACGAACAATAAACGCTAACAGACACCATTTGGATGGGGAGGTATTAGGCGGCCGTAACGAAGGCACGTGACACGGTTTCACGACGTGAAGTGGGCGTGCGATAAAGCACGCGGAAAGCTGGTGAAATCGGTCCATCATCGTGACGCAGGTTGCTACGCGACAGACATGTATGAGTGAGACTACATTTGGCCAGTGGAGACCGCTAGCAGGTTTCGGCCTGTCTAGACAAGTGACCTAAGTCAGTCCAGATACGTACAGTCGGAGATGATGGATTGTGACCTATAAAACTAACCGTGCGCTGTCCCTAATACGCATCGGTCCCGCAAACGTCAGTCTTCAGTTTCCTATCTCCAGCACGGTTTGCGGCGCAGGGAGGAGAGGCAAGTGCAACATAGTTCTATAATCAAGCACGCTCTTTCAGACTACAGAGAAGTGTTAACCTGATATTACATCAGTCAAATGGTTGTATCTATACGCTCTGCAATTTTTCTTCAACACAATAATGATGTTCATAAGCAACGTTTAACCTCTTGAATTTGTTAGTTGGTTCCCTGACACCAGTGGCGTACTCTCTCTCTTAATCGTAGCGTTGCCGTGGGATGAGCTGTGAGCAATGGTGAGTCCAGATTGGCCTTTCCAAACGTGTGTCATTTATGGAGACAACGGACAACAGACCTTATCGTTGAGGTACGAGTTTACAAAGCTGCTGCAAGATCACACGTGATTTGAAGGCTGCCAGCCGGAATAGAGATCAAGATCGAAGGACGGTCGTGGTGGAGCTGTTCGCCATCGGTTGCATACCGAGGTTGCTGATTACGGAATACCATTCTTGCGGAGAAATCTGCGAATAAGTCCCGTTTGCCTTGTAAGCGAGATAATTAAGCCGTCGTGGACACTCAGCGGCAGTGTCTGGACTGGTCACTTGGTTTTCCTTTAAATACCAAGAGAGATTGTACTGCGCTATGTCAGAGTCACCGTGACAGGCTATAGAGGCCCTGACAGCTCCAGTAACCAGTGAGTACCTAACGGAGAGCGAATACAGAACTCGGCTGGCCAACGGCTTCCGTGTGAACTTCTACCGAACGCAAAGAAGGCGAATGTGTTACCTGACTATCAACGACATTCGCATTTAGAGGCTGGATCGACGATCCAGCGACATACGTTTATTGCTCCGCTGCATTGCTAATAGAGAGTTAAGCGGAGCCAATTTCCAGATGCTAAGTTGAGCAAAGGCTTACTCGGAGCACTGAGCTGTCTGCTGCATACGAACGTCACTAGCACGAGCGTGGAAGGACCTTCGACAGTTTTGGCAAATTCGGAATCGGGTGCAAAAGGATTGACCAGCAAATAAAAGCCCGAGTCAACGGAGGCAAACCATTCTGCCAAATATGGAAAATCCGTGGGACGGAATAACCACACATTGGCTGAGAGCCAAACGTTACCCCAATTAAGATGTTTCGTTCACCAATAAATAGAATTGACCTATCGTGTAGAATAGACTCCCTGTTTACCGAGCCTTGGCCTTCTGTATCCTGTCTGTTGGTTGGGCGCTTGGTTGAGCAATCAGGCGGTCTTAGTCTCGCAGGCGCAGAATATCAACAGTGCAGCAGCACGAAGGCAGCTTTACAAAAAATTGCGTGTCTGTTTGTTAAGACCAAAAGCTCCGGGTTGAGTCCCTTAAAAGTAAACCATGTTCCTCGGCCTGGGCAGGCGGGAAGCTCTCTGCCCACACAATTCCGAAACCCACCTAACACTTTCACTGACTGCCTGTTTCTCCCTTTTTGTCGTTGTTACCCATGTGTCGTGTCATTTTGCCTATTTTATACTGGTCAGGTTGTGATATATATATAGATATATATATATATATATATATATATATATATATATATATATATATATATAATTTATGGATCTGGGAACGAGGCCGCAACCCACTGAAATTCCCAGCATACTACCAGTGGTTGACTCAGATTGGTTCCCCGTTGAGAATCACTTAAGCAGTCCACATCCACTGATGCATTCTGCTTAACTGTTTTGTCACATACGCGTTCTATTGTTCTTTTCTATACTCAGTCGGATCGCACGACGCAACAGTTAGGAACTTGAAGTTTGCACCTAATCCGGAAAACTTTGAAATGTTGAAGATGGCCGTCTCCACTCTGGCACTGCTAGCGCGGAGCTCAGCGTTCGTTCAAGTGAGAGTTCTTTTAGTTTTTATGTCACAACTGACCACATTTCCTAAGGTATTTTATTATGGAATACTCAGCGGTTGTATACATGGCATCTCTCTCGAATATGCCGGACACAATTCTCATGATGAGTGCGACTGTCAGGTACAGACACCTATTGCACAACACCCCGAAGCCCGTGGAAAAGATGCTTGTTTGTAGTGACCTCACTGACACTGATGAACAAAGTATTTATGGCACAAAATTTATTTAGTATTTAACATTCCTTTCCAAACGAACCTGAGAAGGTGGAGGAACAGCAAGGTTTGTTTGCCCAGATGGACAAACTGCGGTACAATGAGATTGGTCAATTTGGAAAAACTTTATTTCAATTGCAGTGGTCTGGGGGTACTTGAGAATGCGAGCACGAGGGTTGATGATAACTACCAGTGTGTGCACCAAAGTACTTTTCAAGTTACTTATGACTATAGGTATCAGCAGTACGCCGGTACATCATATCGATGCTTTGCTGTCGCGAAACCACCGGTAGTCGCAAGTGGCTTACAGATATTCCGAAGGTCGCCCAGCTCCCCATCTAGGCTCGAACCCAAGTCCTCGTACTATAAGGCAGGCTTGGGAGGCTTAAGCTTCAGTGGTAGTCATGGGTAAGAGCTTTTTGGCGTAATTATTTGTGGATTCTTCGCAGCATGTTCGAAGTCAGCTAGTCCACAATTCACCCAGGGAAGCACTATAACGCCGTTTCGTCTTATCCTTTGTCGCCATCACTGTCCGAACCAAGACAGGCGTAAGCCGATAGTCAGCTGCTTAGGTCACTTGGCCAGGACGGATGGTGTAGGACCGTCATGACGTAACTATTTGCCTCAGCAGTTTCTAAATCCTGCGGCGTACATGGCTATTCAGCAAAAGTTGTGTCTTATGGGACCAACCTTGTCCTCCGTAACCTTCTTAAATTATATGACGGTGAAGGATGAGTTGCACGCATCGCAGTTACCCAGTAAATCAGGACGGTCTACCGCTGTCCTGAATGGCTCAGTGGCATAAGCTGCTGGCTGGCAGTGCAGACCGCTAGTGGTCATGGGCTCGGATCCTGATGGAGCCGATGCATGCGCTCTATTCAAGAGTCCCGATAGGACGAAAATGCCGTCTAGTGCTTGTACAGTTATGTGGAGAATTGCGTTAACTGGAAGCCGCTGAGGAGCTTCACTTAATTACTTCCCTAACTGTTGCTTCTGCACTAAAAAAGGGATTCTAAAGACGAGATTTTGTGGCATTTGTCAACAACTCGTTCTATGTGTGCCGTTGAGTTCTTGCAAAGTGGAGCCGGTTGGTTGGTTCAAAAAGAGCGCAGAAGACTAAGCGGCTAACATTGGGGTGGGGGGGGGAGCAAAGACGATAGCTTAGAAGCCATCCTGTTCAAGCATTGCAGTCACGTAATCGGGGGAATTTATGTTGACCATCTTCGTACATGGTTAGTCCAGTGAAGAATTTCATGGAGCAAAATAGTTCAAAGTTTAAAGCAGTGGACAAGTGGACGCTGAGCATTTGAATGCCAATACGGAAAGCCCAACGATTCACCAGATGTAGTCTCTATTGCGCATGAGTCAATATAGTTTGAGAAACCCTTTGTGGCACCCCCTGGTAACTTATTGCGGGATCTCTCTGGTTACGTGAGGAAAAGCACTTCGGTGACAGCCAAACTCGGTCATCAGGTGAGGATGTTCGGATCCGCAACCGGGAAAGAAACATGCACAATTCATATTAGGAGAATAATGCATAACGCATAAATAATTAGTGATAGTAGCTACCTTTATCACCAATGGGAACAGCCTTGTCGGTCGATGCCGAACCTCATGATCCGGTGGACTTAGGTACTAGGTGAAAAGCGTATAGTTGAAAATTCCAGATCCACGAGTGGCAAATTGATTGCGCACATCTGGAACGACTGCATATCGATTTTCCAGACACTTAGTGGCCGTCTGATTAGAGCAGTATGTGACGAATGTGACCTGTTCCATCTACAGGCCGGTATTATCCCAGTGTTACATGAATCGGAACATCTGTGGGGCTCCAACCGGCACCACTGACTATGGTCAATTCGCAACGCAGATTTTAGAGGGATATAGGATACGAAGCGTGCAGCCTCCAATACGCAGTTTAATTGAGCAATATTGGCACTTTTGTTAAAACATGTCGCTGCTGGACTCAAGCAGATAGCCATCACACATCCAGGAAAGCGCTAGACGACCGTTTCGTCCTACTGGGACTCGTCCGCAGCGCGGGCCCGCCGAATCCTGCCGGATTCGAATCCACGACCTTACTTTTGTTAGCCAGTAAATTATGCCACTAAGCCATGGGCGATGGCAGCGGACCGCCAGCACTGATCTCTAACTGCGATATAGCAGGACGAATCTACCGCTGTCATGCAAGTTATGAACGTGTAGCGATCAGGGCTAACCCCCAGAACAGCGACTTCGTTTTAAAGGCGCCACCAATCAAGGTGGCATGTAGGCTGCCAAGACACTTACTGATTATTAGTGTGGTGTAGTAGGCGGTCCGTTGTCGTCACACATGGTTCAGTGGCATAAGTTGCTGCCTCGTAAAAGTACGATAGTGGGTTCGAATCCGGCAGGATTCCGGGGGTGCGCGCTACTGACGAATCCCAACGGGACGAAAAGGCCGTCAGGCGCTTTCTTGACTGTTGTGGTGTTGTCTGGCTGAGCCTAGCTGCGATGAGTCTTCACGAAGACCACATAACTCCTCCACTTTTCACTAATATGGGCACATGAAAGTACAGGTGATGCCCACTAATGTGAGTGGCGATGATATTCTGCCTCACCCCTGTACCTATACGTTTGAACTACTACACTGCATAAGAAAAGTCGCATCCATCTCAGTGTTTGTCTTTGCTGCCTCCATCAGGTATTAAAGGGCATAATGAAGTGCAACTGAAATTCGGTGCTAAACCTAGACGGACTAAGACGTATCTGGTACTTGTTAGAGCTCCTCAAGTTTGGAACATGTAGACAAAAGACTACCGCGGTTTTGACGAAGAAAAGTTGGGTGAAGCATTGCCCAGACTGAGCACTTGTTCAGCGACACTTTTTCCAAACCAGTTAATGTGTTCTAGCTCAGTACTAGGTGAAACCACTAAAGCAGTTGTTCTCAAGCATTTTAACGGTGTTACCCAAAAAGCGGGTTCACTATAAACAATTACACCAGAAATAGGTTGAGTCCAAAAAGCAAATTACCTATTGTGCTGTTTACTTTAAAGCCCAGAAAAAGCATGCTATTTTTAATTACTTTAGAGAATTCCTACGTAAAAAACGCATATTTCTGAACGATATTTTATTAAACTTAATGTGACATGCGTCTCCAAAACGGATGATATTGTCTAGTCCTAACAAATTTCTGATATATTTGGTGCGATTTTGGCTAATGCTTGAAATTAATTCGGTTATTTGTCTTTGCTTTCGTTGTCACCATTGTCAGCCTCCGCGGGGTGCATCCGCGTGATGGTTCGGGTTAATCCCGTCGCAGTTCGGTGGCAGTCTTCCTGACCGTGTTGGGGATTTGTGCATAGCAAGTGTTCTCCCAATATAAAAAGCCACCTATATCCGTCTGTCAACACTGTGACGTGGCGGATGAAACTCGCTAGTAAATATAGTCAACTAGCGAACGTCATCCAGTACGAAGAGTTTCTTTGATCCCTTTATGCCATGGAGAACACAGCGAATACAAGCACGAATTCACAGTCGAACAAATTCACTCACCATGTCCACTTAACATACATGTTTGGCGGCATCCGTGTGCGGATTAGAATATTACTGCAGCCTCGATAGGACAGCCACAGGACACCTGGACCTACAGAGGGACCATGGGTGGCGTGCGCTGCACCACCCACAGCTCCATCCACACAACCCCAAAATCCAGTGTAAATCTGAAGGAATAAGACCGAGAGGCATATGGATGGGAGTCACATTGTATCAACGGAGCCGGCCCACACTCCCTCAACATGCACAGCAGCAGAAGAAGAATTCCTGTCTATCTATGCAGGGGATCATGCGTACCGGACGTACACAAGGCGGTGGCTGAGATGTAGTTCGCTCCACACAGGATGGAACAACTCTTTGAACCTAGCACGCCCACGGAACCGTGCACCACGAACCCCTTCCAGTAACGATTCACGCTTTCTTGGAGCCAGTAACCGAGGTGGAGGATGTTAGACAAGTACGCACCTTGCTAACATCCACATCAAGCGCAACCACATCCCGGATATCAAACAACCCACAGAATTTGTGGGAAAGCACACGCGAAATTGACACAGAATATGCGGCGAATTGGAACAACTGAACCAGTCTAAGTGGAATAGCTTTTATCCAGATTAAACAGATTGCGGTGAAGAAGCAATATGTATGAATATCAAGCACAGCATGAGGCACGTACACACATTAGTTGGCGGCATCCGTGTCCGGATTAGACTGTCACTGTAGGCTCCATGGGGACAGCCACAGGACGCCTGCACCTACGGAGAGACCATGGGTGGCTTGCGCTGCACCTCCCACTGTTGCACCCACACACCCCATATCCCGTGCAAACCCGAAGGAATAAGACCGAGAGACATGTGGATGGGAGCGAGGTCTCATCAACGGAGCCGGTCCACACTCCTTCAACAACCAGAGCAGAATCATTCCGACCTACTTCCGAAATCATACGTACCAGTCGTACGCAAAGCCGTGGCTGGCTCTAGGCCGTTCCACGCCAGTTGGAACCACTCTTTGAGCCCAGCAGTGTCACGAGGACAGTGGACCTAGTCCCATCAAGTAACGACTAACTGTCTCCTGGAGCCAGCATAGTGAAGGTGGTGGGTAATAATGGTAGCTTACCAGAACGATGCCCATCCGTTAGCGGTAGCTCAGCCGGCTTGCACCAGTTGCTTTTATTTCTCCTTTTTTCTATGTATTTCGGCACAGTAGCTGAGGTGTTCCCCACCTCTGGCTAACGTGTATGATGATGATGATGATGGGTAATAGACAGGTAGGTAACTTATCAATGTTCACATCAAACGCAACCGCACCGGGAATGTCAAACAACAGCCAATCACTTGAGTTGGGAAGATCAAATAAAATCCATTGAAAATACATACGGATATTACGTGTGGTTCAACGCAGCCAGTTTCCAAACCAGATAGTCGTCAGCCTGGC